CGATCCTAAAATAAATCGATCTGATATTCATCCGAACCGAAAAACAACCGATCCAATAATCACCGACTCAAAAATTGACTCAACTCGATACCGACCCGATCCGATTCATCGTACACCCGAACTAGATCCGAATCGAACAAAATTTAATTTAATTTAATTTAGACCCGAAATTACCCAACTGAAACCCGATCCGAATAACCCATTTACCACCTCTAATCTAGTAATACTACGATGTGCATTTACATAATAAATGCCTATAATAAATGGTTCATTTATATCAAATCTAGCCTTTTCTTAGATGATAAAATGAAATTGGAATAGAATAAAGTAAACAATAACTATTTTTATATAAGCATATAGGAGAACACGTGTCGGTCCTTGTTTTAGTTGCGCTAAGAGATATGTATGAATATAAAATAAATGAGACATTTATTAAAATTTACCACTAATAATATGCATTGATTTTATAAATATGCATCACTAACATAAAATATTATAAAATTTATAAATATTCACAAATTTTTTTTAAATTGATTTTATATATCATTGAATTTTTAAAAATTACAAAATATACATTAAACTTTGAACTTTATTAAAGGGTGAATAACACACTAAATTAATGAAAATATCTTATTTAGCTCCTCAATTATAAATAAATTTTCACTTTAATATTTTTTCAAAATTTTTAAGTATTAATTCTAATAAATAAGAAATTTTAGAATTCTTTAAAAACATTAAAAAAAAATCAGTTATCAAACAATGAAATTATTACTTTTTATTAAACAAAAAATATTTTATAACTAATTATTTATTTAATTGTTGTTGTATTTTTAAAATAAAAAAATTATAATTTTCTATGTCCGAAAATTTGTATTATCAAATAATAAAATTATATTTTATTAATGATGTTATTTAAACATTTAACTTTTATTTAAAAAAATTCATAATTTTATAATATCTTATCATGGTAGAAATTTAATATTTATAATATAAAATTAAAATATGATATTTATTTTATCTATATCTATTTTATTTTCAGTTCATCAAACCTAATAAGAATTACTTCAATTAAAATTAAGAGTAAAGTTAAATTTTATTTAGAATTTGAGGGTCCAATTCCCATTTTTTAACAAAATTAAAATTTAATATTTATTATGTAACTTTTAAAAGTTAAATGTTCAAAAGGATAAATTTAACATAATTTAATGACCATTTGTAAATTTTATCGTATAAAATTAATGTTGAATTGCAATAAATGGCATGCTTCTAGAAATTTCCAAAATAAATAAACAAATATCACTTTTAAAATATGAAATGTCCGTACCGTTATAAAACATTTTAAAAAAAGTTATTCTAGAATTAAATCGTAAAAATTACAAAATTTTGAAATTAATGTAGAGTATAAAATAAATTTTGAATTTTAGAAAAAAATATAATGCTCAATGACTAAATCTTACTTTATCACAAATAAAAAAATAAAGCTAGAGGTGGACATAACCATATGCCCAATCTTTCTCTAAATCCCTCCTGGTTCCCCTTTTTATGACAATTTTTTTATTTAATGGGAAATTAGATGAACATGACACGTGGCCGTATGCCATTTGTTAATTTGTTAAGAATTTGCTCCCTTGTACTTAAAAAACATATATATTTTTCATCTTTAAGAAAAAAATATAAAATACAAATGATGATCTAAGATTATTGTTTGTATAGAAATTTTGCTGTGCCACCAAGCCTAAATCTCATAGTGCGGTGTTTAAGAACAATAAGACGAGAGTTTTTTTTATTGGTGTGTTATTTTTTTTTCCGTCTTTGTTAATCGACAGTAGTATTAATTTTAATATTAATTATCGACCGTCGATATTCTTTATTATTTTTTCTTCTCTATATCATATCATATCTTTATTTTTTTTCCTTTTTTAATTTTCAATAAATTTATTTATATTGCACGTTTTCATGTTTTTATGACACTTTTTCTTATGTTTTTCAATTTTTTTTACCTTTTTTTTAATTTATCTTTTTACAAAAGGTTGATTTGATATTATCATGACTGATCAATATATCGCTTATATGATATCTTGTTGATATTTCTTGTTTTGGACACTTAGATTGGATTTGGATATCTAATTTACGTTCGTGGATAGTTTTTCACGTCGTTCGAGTCTGATTGCGGTTTGTCAGTGATATTTCAATAGTTTGACCTCTTTTTGTGGTTCATTTGTCAATGCGATCACATCTATTTGTATTTATTTTTGTTCTAGTTTCTTGGTTAGATTTAATCTTTCATTGTATGATCCGTATATGATCTTAAGTTGCTAGTTTTGTTTCAATAATTATAGGAAACTTTTATAATTGTGTGATCAATTTACGATTGTGATTGTAAATTTTTATTGTAATTTATAATATTTCTTACTTTGAATAAAATTAGTTATTTTTATATAAAAATTATTATTATTATTATTGATGCAAAACATTCAGTGTATTACTAAATATAGACTTATCGTGAAAGCACACAGAGAAAAAGTCAAGCAGATAACCGTAAAAAATTATATTTTCGTCACATCATTCTATCTGTTTGTAAACGCAAACAATAGCGGTCCAACTCTTCCTTTCAACCCGTCGCAACATATTCAACATCAATAATTCGGGATTTTTTTTAAAATAATTCATTGAATATCTACTTTTATTCACCCTATGAAATCTAAAAAGTTCTTAATTTTCAATTGAAATAGTATACATATATATTTTTGGTATAACCACTATATTTAATCTATTGATCGATTAATCCATACGAATATTACAGAGTAATAATGACTGTTCCAACCCAATTTACTCAATTCACAATTATCAAGATTTGAACTTTCGACCTTAGTTAAGGTTGAAATAGTATATATTGTCCCACATTTGATGTTTTTTCATCAATGATGCCATTTGAAGAATACATTTACACACTGTCAAGTGTCAAACTTGAGATTTAAAAAAATTGGATTAATTAAATCCTGAGCAAAATGCAATAATTCTAAACCGGCCATTGAAGCTCTGCCATCCCTTGGCTAAATATTATTTATAGCTAGGTCAAACACTATCGCACAACGCTTTTCATATTTAACCAAAAAATATTGATAGAAAGAATACATTTTAATTTTTACATGGTCAACTACCTTTTGATTCATTGATTGAGGTCGTAATTAATTAATTTCCACCTTTTTTGTACACCAACACAGATATTATTTAATTTAATAGTGTAGAGTGGAATCACGTCATAAACCATTGATTAAAGAAATAATTAATTACATTAGTGATTATAAAAACATTAGTATAATGCATGCATAATTGACATCCATTTGTAGCTTTACAAGATTTACATGATATAGTGGAAATACAGAAAACAATTTAATTTATAAATATCTTCAAATATATACTAATTTTATTTAATGTAATGAAAATAATATAGTAAATACAAAATAAATTTTCACTTATGACCACAGTCATCGTTTAACGCCCCCCACAAAAAAAATGGTAGAATAATCAAAATTCAGAACGAACAACAATTAAGAAAATAAATAATAAATAATAGGAATAATAAAATTAGTACGGACAACTAAATTTTATTTTAAAAGTAGAAATCCGATTCCAGATAATTTTACAATTTATAGAGTCAACTTTGAATTTCAATTTTGATTTCAAATAATTTTACTTGTATCTCTTATATAAATTCTTAATTACACAAATTTCATTATTAAATATAAGTATAATTTTCCAATATATTAAAAATCATGAATAGAGTGATCAAAATATTGATATCAATTAAAAATCGTATAATTTATGTTAAGAATTGTATTCAAAGCAGCGGATAACAAATTCCCAATAGCCTCATCCACAAACTTTACAAGTGCGACACTTATTATCAACATCACCACCTTTTGGCATATACATAGAGAGAAGATGCTTCGTATTGGCCACTTCTTCCATATACGTATAAATTAATTTCACTACTTTTCTCACAAGATGGGGGGAAGTGACCAATTAAGCAAAGTTAAAGATTAAAAAAGAAGGTATCAAAATTCAGACGTGACGCCCTATGTTGTTTTCTAATACATTATTCTGTGTGAATATAAGCTTAAAGAGATTCTTTAAAAAATACGGTGTTTTCTTTTTAAATGATAAAAACGGTGGATGGATAGAATCTCTATCGCTTAAGGACCATATGAAGGATGTGTTTTTGGCCTATGGAAGTGCTTCCTTCGCTTCCTCTTCAAGCCACCTTCGCTCCATCCATACGCACACATTTTTCTTTATCACCGTAATGGATATATTTATCACTTATTTTCATTATAAATTTAAATAAGTATTATCGTTATCTTCGTAAAACCATTTTATTATCATTACATAATATTTTAAAAACAAAAATGATATTTGTAAAAAAGGAAAAAAGCGTAGCCATGAATGAATCTGACATATGCATTGAGCCTTGAAGTGAGTAAAAAGAAGAGGTTCAATGATCTGGAAAAAGCACAGGCATCAAGCTCAGGGTTAATGGTGTCCAGCTCTTGTTGGATTTGTATTCTTCTCCATTACTTTGTCACTATTTGCCTTCCAATTTCTGCCACGTTCGGCAGGGGAAACAAATGGCATAGATACCAATACGCGATTACGTTTCTTTACCCTCCCGATTGACACTTCCGTTTGAATCTCTACAGTTTTCATTTTACAATGCATATGTGTTACTGCCCCCACATTACTGAATTAAATTAGTTTCTACAGGGAAGGGACAGACCGAAAGAGGAGGTGAGCCTCGCTTTTGTTTGTTCAATATTTGATATAGAATAATTTTAAATAAAAAAATTTAAATTATTTAGTCGTCATGGACGGTTCTGTATTTATTTATGTTATAAATTTATCGGCCAACTTTAATTATTTTTCTGGAACCAAAGGAGGAGTTTTCAATTTCGATGGTGGCGTAAGATAGGCCCCATTGGACACGATTCCAAAGGCTTTTTGGGCTGCTACAAATACCCCCCGCCCTTCCATTTCCATCAAACCAAGGCACATACCCATTCATTTGCCTCGCTTAAATTTAGGCCTCTGTTGATTGCTGTTGATCAAAAGGTAATCAACTCAGTTCTTCCAATCTTCTAAGCTTATTTGCTTCTTCTTTTTTAGAAGATCTCTGTCGTTAATTCGTTTTGGGATACAATTTCAGTACTCTTCTGCCTAGTACCATGTCTGGTCCACTTTGTAAGAACTTAGGCTTATCTTCAGCCCTGAACATCATCGAAGAAGCCATTAATGTCACCGAGAAGCAAGGCATAGTGTCGATTCTGGGATCGGATGCTGATCAGAGACCAACAGTTACAGGCTCTTCACTTCGAAGGACTTTATCGGCTGATATGTCTTCCAAGAAATGGCTTACTCTAAATGAATTTTCTCCATTGAAAAGGATTGCATCTTCCGAAGATTTTCCTGTTCCCATTGCAGATTCATCGTCTGAACAGGATTGTGAAGACAAGAAGGATCTCGATAAGCCATGCCAGTTCGATATATGGAGCTCCATCGTTTCGAAGAAAGCGGACGATGAGTCCCTGAAATCACTTCCCCCGCCTTATGTTCACCCTCTCGTGGAAAGATCGGGGAGTTGTTTAAACGAGAAAAGCCTCGAAATCTGCACCGAGAGCCTCGGTTCCGAGACGGGCTCCGATGGGTTTTCTTCGTATCCTCCGTCGGAGACCGGCGACGTGGAGGAAGATCGTAAAGAGGAAGATCAACATGGAGTGCTCCAGCAACAAAAAACCGCCTGTTTTGATGATGAAGACGATCAACTGAGGTACGTGAAATGTAACTATGATGTAGTCGGGAAGAAATCGCCACAGTACGGATCGTTCCCTCCGCCGATACCTTCCCTTTCTCGCAAAGATGGTGCTTCGGTTCGCATGGAGACTCATCGTGATAATGGCAGATTGGTTCTTGAAGCTGTTTCAGTGCCTTCGAAGAATAACTTCCTCGCTCAACGGCAAGATGGTCGCTTAGTCCTCACTTTTTCCAATACCATTAATGAATCTGAAGAGAAAGGAACTGAAACAAACATATTCGAAGAAGAAGAAGAAGAAGAAGAAGAAGATATGTGTCGTGGGATGGAGCAGGGACCTAAGCTGGAGAGTGGAGCAATGAATGTGCATAGGTTAGCTGCAATGATGAATAAGCCCATATGGTTAGCAAATAGGAACCCAACATGGCCCAAAACATTTGATGAAATAGTTAAACTTGGAGAGGAGAAAGTTGAGCCAACCACCCTCCCACCGCCGTCGCTACAGTCACTTCCGCCAGGGCCACGGGTGGTTAGGTTGATTCCATCACCACCACCACCGCCATCAACAATTGCAGCCGCATCATTCAATGCATATGAGTACTATTGGAGTAGCCCCGATCAGGGCATGTCGTCAAAGGCAGCTATCCTTACCCCACTTGCTCAGCAGTCACCGCCATCATTGCTCGTGGACAACGGCTACAAACATCTCCTTCTCCCCAAGAATCAAACGGCCAATGATCAACAACATTTGCTGGTTTTGAGAGGGAATAATGGTGATTACTTTGTTCCTTTGCTAAGAGGCTGCAAAGAGAGTAGGAAATCTCTCGTGTTCTCCGGTCCCTATTGCATAGCCACTTCCTGATCATGATCATCGTCAAAATACCACCCTCACAGTTCCACCAAATTTGTGCCTATCATTGTTATTACTTACTACTGTTACCCTATCTGTTTTTAGCCTCCCGAGCTAGTTTTTCCACGGCCACTCCTCGAGGGTGGCTGTGATTGTGTAGTTAAATTTCCAATAATTGGATAAAAGAAGAAAGAGAATAATTTTGAGATTTTATTTTGTATACAGATATAACAGTTCGTAAATTTTCATTTTAAAATAAGAAATAATTACCTGTGTTCAAATTCACGACACATTAACGAAATTAATTTTCAACATACAACTTTTAAGATTTTTAAAATAATGAATATAAACATAAAAAAAAGACTAAAAGAACATTGTTTTTTTTATTTATATCTATTTAATTTTATATTTTATTTACATGAGTTGTGCATGATAAATTCTAGAATAAATTCAAAAACTTTTAATTTTTGTTTGTAAATAATTCTACCGCTATGTTATACGTAAAAGATGGTATTATTGATTAATAAAATATTACAATAATGTTAATTAAAATTTTTTTATGCACAAATATAATTTCATTACAAATGAATCAATCAATTCAAAGAATTATGAAAATAAAATGAGTAAAATTAATTAATTTTATATTCAAGTGAGCTCATTGTTGATTTATACAAATAATAAATTTGTATCATCGTCTTTGCCTTTTCTTCAGGTAAAAACAGAATAATTTATTTGAGCACTTCATCTAATTCCATCGATGTCTATAGGCATTGATTATGTAAACCCATTAACATACGAGCTTGTTCCTTTCGGTCATGGTTTGAGCTTGATTGATATTTTCACTTCAACAATAGAATTAAAAAGAGAATACGTTTGGTATTTTTTTTATTTGGATTTAAATGTAAAATTACCCCTAAATCACGTTCTTTATAAACTAGATATTTAAAATATAATTTTATTAATATATTTTTGGATAAGTCAAATAATTCATTATCGAAGAGAGTAGCAACTGCTACAATAAATATAACCAACGACAATAAATTACACAATTAAAGAATCTCCAATCAATACACAACCTCTTATTCACCTTGTCTTTTTTATCTGTACAAGAGCTACACAATTTGAATAGAACAAACTCTGATCCTTCCAAATGCTATACAAGAACCTAGTCCAAACAAGCTTGAGAATAAGAACAATGAGAGACTTATCACGCAGATTCGTTTCAATCCATAAAAAGTCATCTTCTTACAAGTCAATAAGATCGTATTCTAGACACCACGTGAATAAGAACAAGTAGAAAAAAGGTGATCTCTTATCTTCCCTTCAGCTTCACAAATATCACACAATCTGTCGGTAGGAATACGAAACCGCTTAAGCCTATACTCAGTAGGTAATCTGTATAAGAGAATCATCCAAGCAATAATTTAAACTTAGAAATATGAGAAGGAACCAGATGAGTTTGTCACTTCACCTTATCCCTATATTCCTTCTTACCCCGTCCCAAATCCACATACTATTAATCAAATGTCAATTAACACTGTTGACAAACAAGCTCACGGCTTCACCCCTAGGCTTTATCAACTTCTTCATAGTCTAGCTGAAGTGAGGTTTATAGGCAGCAACTCTAAAGTCATCACCCTTCAACACATATTCATTAATCTAAGCGACTAACAGACTCTCTTCATCTGTCAATATTTTAGAAAAGTAATAAACAATAAATTTTAGTCCAAAAGGCTAAACTCTTCAAACCCAACTCCCTTCAGACTTGATAGAACAAATTTACCCCCAATTAATCCAAGCCCCTTTAGTAGCAAACTCGCTTCCTCTTGGGGAAAAAAACTCATGAAAAATTACTCAATTTTGTGGATAATCGCTTTAGGCAAAACAATATGTTTACTCCAATAATCAACACAACTAAAAATAACAACTTTAATATGTTGCAACCAACCACCATAGCTCAAGTTCCTTTTAGACCACTGACTCAACTTAGCTTTGATTTTCTCCACTAACACTGCTCAATCACTTATCCGGTTACACCAATAATCTCTTGAAGCTTCACCGCAACGAACCGCGAGCAAAGGATTCCGTCTTGACAGCTCTAAACTTCAGCCCAAACATTTCAAAAAATTGCTCCAACGCGCTCATGACCCTGAACAGAATTAACATTACCATGATAAAATATTAACGGGTCATCAGTAAAACACAAGATAGGTATTCATATGTTGACATATAATAATCTATAAAACTTAGTTTTAAAATTATATTTATTTTATTAAAATTAATATTACATCATTTAAAATTTAATTTAAATAAAAAGTTAATATTCAAGCCAAAATTTTGGTAAAAAAAAATCTAGCCAATATAGGTATAGTTAGGATTCAACATTGTTTAATATAGACTTGGTCCAGGCCCAGGCTACCAGGCTAATCAGATAATCCATCTATGAACTAATTTTGAACCGATTTGGATCCATGGCCTGAATTCATAAATAGAAACCAAGCAATCGGCCCGACTACGTTCTGCTGCTTCGTCTGTGGGACGCAAAGGCAGAAGGCAGGCCAGCCAAGTAGCCTTCGAAAAGAGAATCAATCTGTGGAAAAAAATACACATAGAAAGCAGAAATCAGCGATGGGAGAGAGCAACAGCATTGTCGAAGAAGATTTGCTTCTCAAAGAATTCTTCGCTGAAGTTAGCGAAGTCGAAAGAGACAATGAAGTCGTCAGGTTTTCTCTATCCCTCCATCTCTTTCCTCATTTTCTTTGAATTTAATAATTATTATCTGTATTATCCAGTTAATTTGTTCTTATGCATGGAGTTTATGTGTTTTTTCAACTTATTTTGGTTTGATTGCTTCTACATAGTAGGGTTTTCTTTCTTTCTGTAAATTTTCAGCTCAAATAATGTACTTTACCATTCGATGAATTGCCTTACTTTTTAAGTTAGATATTTCTAACAGCTTAGGTAGGAAATATGTGTATATTTTTAGCTCATTTAGCCGTTTAAACTTGATGGGTATTCTTTGTATTTGATGCTGTTTTTAATTCCAGATTACATTGTTTTTCCGTTCTCTATTAGAACTTGATATTAATGGATGTTTTCAAGATCAAAGTCATGCAAGTAGCCAATACTATCTAAGTTGGTGAAAGCTCTAAATACAATAATACTTAATAAGAGAGTGCTTTGATGTTTTCGGTATTAGTATAACCGATGTCCTATTAGCCTATGGTTAAGAGAGAGCATCAGAAGTTGAATGGAATTTGAATGCATTTGCTTATGATGTAAGCAGTCTATATAACATGAATTTGTGTCACTTTGATATACATTTGGTGGTTTAGTGTTGTAGTCCATGTGAAGCATTATTATTTTTTCTAATCTCCTTGTGCCTTTGTTGAGATAACGAGAAATGCGATAGATACATTATTCTTTCCTTCCATATAAGTGTGCAAGTTGAATATATGACTTACACAAGATGCTTTCAGTTTTGCCAAAGCTTGTTGATATGTTTGAAGGGTCATGCCCCCATCCTGACCCAGTTTGAAGTTTCAGATATGTGGCAAAAATGGACACTTTAGAGTTTAGGGGATGAAGAAAAAAATAGTTGAAGCAATATAGCTACCCCTCTGACCCTCCTCTTTCTCAATAAGTATATTTTATCTGTCTGTTGCCACAACTATAGTGACTCATTTTGGTCATTGTCTCATTGATGCAAAATAACACGGAGTGGTTTTTAGAACTGCAATAACTACCATTATGTCTATTATGGATGTATGGCTTGGTTGTGTTCATTTTGCATTAACACCAGAATTTGGGAAGTTCTTTTGGATTAATGGTTTACTTTTTTTTTCGTGACCTTTATTTTATGACATTCTTGTCTAGTCCATCTTATTTGAAAGAACTATCTTAATCCACGAGATATTTTGCTTTGCCCGATCCCTGTTCCAATACCAAATTGATATGGATGTAAATAAGAAAGCTACCTGACCATCACTTATTAATATTTATTATATTAATGAACCTTTTGTTTTATGTTTTCTGACTAACAACTTTGGTTATTGTTGATGAGCTACTTTTTTCTATCATACCTTGACTAACTTTTGGCTCATTTAAGTTCTTTCTGGAAATCATAGAATTCTTTCAAGTTTGAAGTTAAATCCATTCGAGTTTCTGAAGCTACCATTTGATTCTTCGTCTCCAGAAGATGTCAAAAAGCAATATCGCAAGGTATCTTCTTTTTCCATGACCATTTCCTTATCCATTGATGTTTTTATAAATTATAACTTGGATAGTGTTGGGAAATAAAACGAGTAACAAGTAATTTCTCTATAACCAGATTAGTGAGAATGCAAAATAAAAGCGGAAAAATAGTACCCGAAATTGATAACGGAGTTCAGCTAATTTGCTTACGTCTCCGGATTGCTGCAAATCTTTTACTAAGAGAGAAAATTTACAGCTGTTTACAAAACACTCACTACTCACAAGAAAACTCTCTAGTATTGGGAGAAATAAATGATTTTTGGGATGATTTTGAAGCTAAATGAGTTAAGATATTTATAGTTGAAGCTTAAGGACTAATCTTGTAAATATCCTAAAATACAAAGGACTAAAAATGTACTTTCCCTATTTTTTTCAAGCAGCCGGCTGCCACTTTATTAATTTAGCAGCCCATGTGTTGCCATCCAACTTTGACTTCCAACAATCTCCCACTTAAAGACTGATTTTAATCTGTCTTCACACCTTAATAAATGCAATAGCTTTTCTTGTCTTGTTATTTTAGCATGCCAACTGAAGCTGAACACAACTTCTGTTTGTCCGTGATCACCGTCTTTGTCAACATGTCTGCCAGATTTTGAGTTCCACTGATCTTTTCAAGTTTCAAAATCCTATCTTCTAGAAGAGACTGGATAAAATGATATCGCAATTGTATGTGATTCGTCCTGGAATGAAAAGACAGATTCTTCGTTAGATGGATAACACTTTGGCTGTCGCAATACAAGATATTGTTTTCTTGTTTCCTGCCTAACTCTTCCAAGAAACTTTGGAGCCAAACCATCTCTTTGATGGCTTCCGTAACAACGACATATTCTGCTTTAGTTGTGGAGAGAGCAATTATCTTCTGTAGTTGAGAAACCCAACTCACTGCAGTACCTCCTAGAATATAGACATACCTTGTAGTGCTCCTTCTGATGTTAACATTTCCG